GCGACGCACTGCGCGCACCGTTTAGATATCTACGAGGTGCCGCCCCTCGTCGACGCCGCGCGGCCGATCCCGCCCGCGGCCTTGTGCACCGTGGCTCTGCGGACCTTGGACGTCGCGGAGCGCTACTTCTCGGACCCGAGCCGCCTCCGCTTCTTCGGCGACCCCTTCGTGATCCGCATCGTCGAACACGAGACGACGGGCGCGGACCTGTACCGCGTCGTCTGGGAGCAGCTCGCGCCCTTCTGCGACTCGGTCCCCCGCGACGGCTCGGGCCCGCCGTTCGCTTTACGGGCCTTCGCGAGCCGCGGCAGCGACCGCGAGCGCTTAGCGGCGGGCACGCTCGCCGGGTCGGAGATGCTGCTGCCGGACGGCGGGCGCCTCGTGCCCGACGACGGCCGCGTATTGTGCGACGACGCGCGGCGTCTCGAGGGCGTGCGGTTCGCGGCGGACGTTCCTACATCTTTACGTCGCCGCTTCAACGACCGCGCGTTGCGCCACGCGCTCGTCCACACGTCCTGCGCGCCGGCGCCGCCGCCGCCGCCCATTGCTTTGGAAGCGTGCCTGGCGGCCGTGGGCGCGCCGGAGACCGTGACCAAGTACTCGGCCGCGGAGACGCGGCGCAACGGCGGCGAGTACGCCGAGGCAGCGCACACGTCCCGCGTGTCCCTCTGGCGCGCGCCGCCCGTGCTCGCGCTCGTGCTCAAGCGCTTCTTCGTCACGGAGCGGGGGCGGCGCCGCAAGCTGAGCGACCGCGTCGCGTTCCCGGTGGACGGCCTGGAGCTGTCGACGTTCCTCGCTGTGTGGAATTCAAATCTTCAACCCGACTTCAATGTGAGCGTATGCGACATTTTCGACGCAATCTCTTCGGCTGTGCTTCGAGAACTCGACGAGAGCACTCGATTCGTCCAAAAATCAGCCGAATCGACTTCGATTCGACCGAGCTAGAGAATTCTGAAGTTTGGTCAGGACCACCCAAACCAGTGGTTGAATTCCACACAGGTTCCTCGACGGCGCGCGCGACGGGCCCGGCCCGTCCTACGACCTCGTGGCCGTCGTGAACCACTTTGGCGGGCTGGAGCACGGCCACTACACCTGCGCGGCGCGGCGGTTGGACGGCCGCGGGTGGCTCGAGTTCGACGACCGCCGCGTCGAGGCGCTGGAGATCGGGGACGTGTGCGACGACCCGGCGGCCTACGTCCTCTTCTACGCGCGCCGCGACGTCCGGGAGGCGGCGCGGCCGCTGGACTTTGTTCGAGAGCGGTTCGCGCGCGTCCGCGACGAGCCCCTCGCGCCCGAGAACGACGACCGCGGCCTCGACGACCGCGCTTTGGAGCCGCCGGCGTCGCCCGCGTCGCCCGCGCGCGGCGCGTCCGACGACGAGCTCGGCGAGATCGAGGACGGCCGCGTCGAGGCCGTCGCGCGCCGCGACGGCGACGCGACCATGGACGGCGACGGCGGCGCGCCCTTCGGCGACGGCGACGCGGCGATGGCGATCCGCTGCGCGGAACTCAAATCTTCAACCCGACTTCAATGTGCGCGTATTTGACGGTTTCGACGCGAAGCTTTCTGCCGTGCTTCGAGAACTCGACGAGAGCAATCGATTCGTCCAAAAATCAGCCGAATCGACTTCGATTTGACCGAGCTAGAGGATTCCGAAGTTTGGCCGGGACGTCCCAAACCCGCGGTCGATTTCCACACAGGCATCCCTCGGCGTAGCGGGCCTTGACGACGATCCGGAGGACGACGACTTCGCCGCCGCCTTCGACGGCGCCTAGGCATCACCGGGGGTAGGCAAATTACGGGGCCTACTAGTAGTCGCCTCAGTTGCGCCACCTCAGCGCAGCTCCGCGAAGGAGCGGCGGAGTTCCGGGCCCGGGTTGAGTCGCTTGGAGGAGCGGGCGCCGCGGGGCTTCGGCTTGACGCCCACGCAGTAAAACTCGTGGTAGCCCGCAGCTCGCGTGGTCACAAAGCTTCGCCCGCAGCCCTTGGCGCAGAGGTACTCTTGGCCAGCGGTCATCTCGCGCACAA